TCTACTCTGCTCAACCACCAGGGACCTGTTACATTGACAAGTTTGTTCATGCCACGGGCTTTATTACCTCTGCAAGAGACAGACACCACAGCAGGTGTGAAGGGTACTGCATTTCACCCAGATTTCAGTCTTCAGAGTAAACAGTTTTCTGTGTCTCCTGACTGGGTCTCCTTTTTCTGAAATTTCAACACATTTTGTGTTTTTGCTTCAGGATCCACTTTCCCAATCAAACACACCCAGGACAAGTACAGCACGGGGTTAGATCCAGAGTAAAGCTGCCTTGGTACTGTCCCCAACAAACACACTTAGGACAGTTACAGCACAGGTTAGATATAGCATAAACCTGCCTCTACACTGTCCTTACCAAATACTCCCTCGGCAGATACAGCACAGGTTAGATATCAAGTAAAGCTTCTTCTACTCTTTTACACTGAAAGTAAGACCAGCTCAACATGGTCCCGATCAGACACTCCCAGGAAAAGTACAGCATGGACAGTAGATTTTTTCTGGCTGGATTTCAGAAGGTCCCAACCAGCACCAAAACCAGGAACAACAAATAAAGACCACAGACCAACGCTCAAACCTCCTCCATATGTCTCAGCTCCACAGTGCACAATGTGAGGCATGCTCAATCCAAGAGAGCTTGATAACAATATGTTAGATATATTGGGTAGACACATCAGTGATGGGTATATGTAACAGAGTACCCATTGCATGTTGGAGTGCAGCAGCTCCACTCAAAATTATATTTTAATTTGAATTTGGCACAGTTTCCTTTGATAATTTAAAGGGATACTATCTGGTTAATCTGGCTCATTAGTTTCCAAAACTAATATAATGAGAGGCTATTGGGGCTACGTTCCTTCTAACTTTTGTTGTTCCCACACAGACCCGGAGTAATTTTGGGTACATTTAAACCAGAGCGGAAGTCTGGTTGAAGGATGGTGGAGCATGTGTCGGGCTGCTGTGTGACAGTGCATGAGCACAGCTTGCAGGGTACATTGGTTTGAAGATACGTTTATTCATGATTATTCCATTAAAAAGTAATAATAATAGTAAATGAATAAACCAATTATCTAAAAAGGTACAAGTGCCCAATTTCATACCTTACCTATGGGCTTGGAATTCATTGACGAGTTGTTCACAGATCCAGAGAGTTCCCCAAGGCAGAGGTTCCTTATGTGAAGTTCACCCACACAAAGTTGCTTCACTCAAACTGAGCTCCACCAAATGGAACTGCCCACTGCATATCACTCTCTCATGAGAAACATTCCACCACGCAACTCCCCCATGTGTAACATTCCCATGGAGAGCTCCCCAAGTGCAACATTGCTCCACGCTTAACACACTGCCAGCAGAGCTTCCACCACTTACATTAAGCCCCCCCGCAAAATGTAATATTCCCCACAAGGAGATATTTCATGTGTACCACTCTCCCATACAAAGGTCCCTCTTTAGTTATGCTTACCCACACAAACATGCCCCATTTGTAACACTTTCCCACACAAAGACTCCCCATACATAGCAGCCTCCCAAACGAGGTTCCAACCCTTTCCTCCAACGTTACATTACCTGAAATATAGCTACTTCATACATAACACTCTCCCACACCGAGCTACCCTATACATAACACTCCCCCACAGCGAGCTACCCCATACATAACACTCTCCCAAACCAAGCTACCCTATACGTAACACTCCCCAACAGCAAGCTACCCCATATATAACACTTTCCCACACCAAGCTATCCCGTACATAACACTCCCCCACAGCGAGCTACCCCATACATAACACTTTCCCACACCAAGCTATCCCATACATAAAACTTCCCCACACGGAGCTACCCCACACATAACACTCCCCCACACCAAACTACCCCATACATAACACTCTCCCACACCGAGCTACCCCAAATATAACACTCCCCCACACCGAGCTCACCCATACAGAACACTCCCCCACATGAGCTACCCCATACATAACATCCTTCACATCAAGCTACCCCATACATAACACTTCCCCACACAGCAAGCTACCCCATACACAACAATACTCCACACCAAGCTACCCCATACATAACAATCCTCCACACCGAGCTACGCCATACATAACACTCCTCCTCATGGAGATACTCCATACAGAACATTCCCCCAATGGAGCAACCCCATACATAACACTTCCACCCCCCCACAGCGAGCTACTCCATACATAACACTCCTCCACACTGAGCTACCCCATACATAACACTCCTCCACACTGAGCTACTCCATATGTAACACTCCCCCATATCAAGCTAACCCATATGTAACACTCCCCCACACCAAGCTACTCCATACATAACACTCCCCCACATGGAGCCATCCCATAAATAACACTTGCCCACATTGAGGTCCCCATAATTAACTCTCCTGCTCAGAGCTCTCACATATGTAAAATTCCACCATGTGGAGACCTCCATGAGTAATATTTCTCTCGTGGCACTTTCCCATTCGCAACACTCTCCCACACAGAGCTCCCCAATGTGTAAATCTCCATCATTAAGAGCTCCCAATTAATTTAAAAGGTAAGTACTGATGCTGAAAATCTGAAACAAATACAGGGAATGCTGGAGAAACAGTTGCTGCCAGACCTGCTCAGTTTCTTCAACATTCCCTGTGTTTGTTCCCAATTAATTTTGATGCAGTAGGTTTTACAATGTCTGGGAACCACAGGGAATGGACAGCAAGAAATGGGAGCATATGCTCCACAACATGCTGACATTTCTGTACCTCTGCATCCAAAGTAATCTCACTGATACTGACCCCGATCCCCATTCAAAACCAGGAAAAGCTGCCATGTAAATCAGAAGTGACAACACTAATCCCTTGGAAGCCAGCACATCAGGGTCAGCTGAGAGGGATTGCACACCAATGATGCAATCTATTTAGCAGAACCCTTGAGAAAATCAGAACATTGGTGAGATTTGATTTTTTTGTTAAACACACCCTTCAAGTGCTGAAAATTGGAAACAATTGGTTATTTGTTAACAGGATGAGCGCACTACTGGCAAGTCTACTATTTATAGCCTGGAGACATTAAGGACTGCAGATGCTGGAGGCCAGAGTCTATAGGTGTGAGGCTGGAAAAGCACAGCAGATCAGACAGCATCAGAGGAGCAGGAAAGTCAACAGTTCAGGCCGAAACCCTTTGTCAGAACTGGGGAGGGGGAGGAGAGCCCAGAAATAAATGGGGGTGGTTGGGCTGGGGGACAGGTAGGAGAGATGGTGATAGATGGATGCAGATGGGGGTTATTGTGATTGGTCCGTGGGAAGGGGGTAGGTGAGTAAGAAGATGGACAGGTTACGTCGGGTCAGGTCAGGAGGGGGAGGGCTGGACATGGGATAAGTCTGGGGGTGGAGGGATTTTGAAGCTGGTGAAGTCAATGTTAAGGCCATTGGGCTGTAAGCTTCCAAAGCAAAACATCAGGCAGGTATTGTTCCTCCAGTACACATTTGGCCTCACTTTGACAGTGGAGGAGGCCAAGGATGGACATGTCACCAGGGGAGAGGGAGGGGGAATAAAAACGGATGGCAACTGGAAGGTCGGGTTGGTCGGTGTGTGCAGAGCGCAGATGCTCCATGAACCGGTCCCCAAGCATGCGTTTGGTCTCGCCGATATAGAGGAGACCACATCAGGAGCAACGGATGCAATAGATAAGGTTGGATGAAGTGCAGGTGAATCTCTGCCAGATCTGGAAGGATTGTTTGAGGCCTTGGATGGAGGTAAAAGGGGAGGTGTAGGGGCAGGTGTTGCACCTCTTGCGGTTGCAGAGAAAGGTACTGGATGTCGTGGAGGAATTGGTGGGAAGTGTACAGCTGACGAGGTAGTCATGGAGTGAATGGTCGCTGCGGAAAGCAGACAGGGGTAGGGAGGGAAATATCTTTTTCGTGTGGGTCTGATTGTAGGTGGCAGAAATGCGGGAAGATGATGCGTTGAATTTGGAGGTTGGTGGTACGTGAGGACTAAGAAGACTCTATCCTTATTTGCTGTTGGGGGGAGGGGTTTAAGGGCAGAAGTGCAGGAAATGGAGGAAATGCAGTTGAGGGCATCCTTAATTACAGAGGAGCAGAAATTATAGTCCCTAAAATAGGAGGATGTCTGGGAATGTCCTGGAGTAGAATGCCTCATCCCAGGAGTAGATGCAGCAGAGACAGAGGAATTGGGAGTATGGAATAGCATTTTTTGCAGGAGAAGGTATAGTTGAGGTAGTTGTGGGAGGCAATGGGTTTGAAATGGATGTCAGCGGTGAGTCCGTTTCCACAGATGGAGACAGAGGGGTCCAGAAAGGGGAGGGAGGTGTCAGAAATAGTTCAGGTGCATTTAAGGGTGGGGTGGCAGGTGTTGGTGAAGTTGATGAACTGCTCGAGCTCCTCGTGGGAGCACAAGGCAGTGTCGATGCAGTCACCAATATAGCAGAGAAAGAGGTGAGGGATGGTGCCAGTGTAGTTGCAGAAGACAGACTGTTCCACAAATCCTACAAAGAACCAGGCATAGCTCAGGCCCACGCGGGTGCCCATGTCCACCCCTTTGGTCTGAAGGAAGTGGGAGGAATCAAAGCAGAAATTGTCGAGAGTGAGGACCAGTTCAGCCAAGTGAATGAGAGTATCAGTGGAGAGAGAGTGGTTAGGCCTATGGGAGAGGAAGAAGCGGAGGGCTTTTAAGCCCTCCTTGTGGGGATTACAGGTGTACAGATACTGTACATCCATGGTGAAGATGAGGTGTTGGGGGCCGGGGAATTGAAAGTTTTAGAAAAGGTGGAGGACGTAGGTTGTGTCACTACTTCTTGCCCATCCCTAACTGCCTTTAGACTAGGTGGCTTGCTGTGCTATTTCTGAGGCAAGCTGTGGTCAGGAGTTTCATTTATCCAGACCAGTAAAGACGGCAGATTTCCTCGCCTAAAGGACACTAGTGATTCAGTTGCAGTTTTATAACAATTGACAATAGTTTCACAGTCACAATCACTGAGGCTATAGTTTTTTATTCCGATTTTATTAATTGCATTATAATTCCAGCAGCTGCCCAGTGTGGGATCTGAACCACCGGAGCATCAGTCTGAACCTACCGGATCACGAGTCCAGTGACATTACTATTATGCCACTGCAACCCCAGCCTGACGAAACAAAAACAGGATATTCTGGAAAGACATTGCAGGAGCATTAGCAAGTGCTCTGTGAAAAAGGTGTGTAGAGGTTTAACGGGGAGGCTCAGGTCAGGTCTGAGGGCACACCCTCCCCCACTCACCTTTCAGCCAAACCGCTGGTGTGTAGTTCCTGAATTTGCTTCTTCCGGATGCCCTCTCCACCTGGGGAAACCTCTCATTTCCAGTCCCAGACCTGCATTGCAGATGCAGACTGTAATGTGATTTTTGGAAATCCACTAAAAACAGTGCACAGAAATAACAGAGAAACCTGTCTAAAAGACCCCCTGACCCAAGTAAACCTCATTGGTTAGGTCAAAAAATACTCAGTGCAGTGAATGGTACAGCTAAACAAATGCCAGTGACAACCCTGGAAAGTGCACCCTGGAATTCATTTGCAGGTTTTAAAGGTAATTGGGGAAAAAGCGCAGTTGGCACTTTTTGCAATCTTACAGGACATTGTAAATTGTACCTTTCTGTCCTGTGCTAGCTGAACGTTTCCAATCCCAACACCCAAATAAAATCCCACTCTAATGTTCTGCTGGACTGGGGGGAATGGGGGAGGGGTAACAAGGTACACAGGGTCAAAGGCAATACAAGCAGGAGTAGGTCATTTGGCCACTCAAGCCTGCTCGGCCATTTATTGCTGATTTCGACCGCAATGGCGTTTTCCCACAGTATCCCCATATCCTTTGAAATCTTTAATACATTTGTTCGTGGGATGTGGGCGTTGCTGGCTCAGCCAGCGTTTATTGCTCTAGAGAAGGCAGTGGTGAACTGCCACATTGAACTACTGCAGTCTTTGGGGTGTAGGGACACCCACAGACCTATTGCACAGGGATTTCCAGGGGTTTTGTCCTGGAAGCAATGTTTCAAGTCAGGACAGCGTGGAGGGCTACTGACATCTTTGATATCCATTCAGGCTGCCGGCCTTTGAAATGTGGCACAGGCATAGCAGAGTCACTAACTTCCTCCACAATCTGGACGTTCGCGCACCATCGATCGCGAGGTCCCAAGTAAAATTTAAAAACCCAATCCTCCCACGTCCTTCCTCAGCGCTAAGTCTGATCCTAACTCGGGTGCCCTCTCCACCATCCACCCCTCCAAAATCCAACACGTCCCCGCATAGAATGGCAGTATAACAAAGACTTTCAAGAACGTGTTGGATGATATTTTTTAAACACATAAGTTGCAGGGGTTACGGAAGGGTTGGGGGGAATAAAGGGCAAGAAAATGGGCGCTGAGCCACGACGCTCCTTGGAAAGAGCCGGTGCAAAGGAAGGCCAGGGGAACCCGGACAGTCTCCTTCTGCACCCTAATACTGGTGTGATTCTGCAAACCGGCAAAACACTCACCCCTACCACCAACTTAACATCTGAGTCCATCATTTGGGGGGGGGGGGGGGGGGGGGTGGAAAAGTTACCCATCGCTGACATTAACATCCCCCTTTCCTTTCCTTTCCCCTCCCCGCTTCCAACACCCCCCTCCCCCCCACCCACCACCCAAATCCTTGTCCAAGGATGGAAAAATGGGAAAAGGGGAAGGGGGTGAAAGAGAGACGGGGGAGAAAGAGAGACGGGGGTGAAGGGGGGGGGGGGGGAGTGAAAGAAAGCAAGTCACCCAGTCGTCATGGAAACCGGTGCCAGCCAGGAGGTTTTCGGAGAGGCAACTGGCTGCCTCGAAGACACGAAGGTGGGGAGGTTGGCATCCACGTTTCAGTTTGTGAAGCCTTTCTTGTCTTTTTTTTCGGGGGGGGGTGGGGTGCAAAAGAAAAGCACGCAATTGGTAAGGAGTCACGTTGTCTTTTAAAAAGTCAACAATAACAAATTAGTAACGATGATGATAATTCCTTGGTGCTCACAGATATGGGTCCCACCTCCTTGGTTTTGATTCTGAGGGAGTAAGAGGTCGACCATCAGGGGCTTCCTGTTGTTGTTGTTGTTCCAACCGCCTCCACGTACTGCACGAGACGGTTGTCGAAGCAGTGGACCTCCAACCCATTGTCCTCCAAGGGATGGTCCTCCCAGCGGTGGTCCTCCAAGGGATGGTCCTCCCAGCGGTGGTCCTCCAAGGGATGGTCCTCCCAGCGGTGGTCCTCCAAGGGATGGTCCTCCAAGAGATGGTCCTCCAGCCCATTGTCCTCCCAGCGGTGGTCCTCCAAGGGATGATCCTCCAGCCCATTGTCCTCCCAGCGGCGGCCCTCCAACAGATGGACCTCCAAGGGATGGTCCTCCAGCCCATTGTCCACCCAGCGGCGGTCCTCCCAGGGACGGTCCTCCAGGCGGTGGCCCCGATGCCGGAGGCTCACCCCCAGCACCAGCAGCTGGACGGCGCCGAACAGCAGGCACAGCTGCGCCAGGTAGGCCCGCAGCAGCCAGGCGGCCAGCGCCAGGCCGTACGAGGCGGCCAAGAAGAGCGCCAGGCCGTGGAGCCAGAGGCGCAGCAGGCCGCGGAGGCCGAGAGCGTCGAGCGCGGCCCGGGCCAGCGGAGAGGCCACCAGCAGCAGGGAGACCACCGCCGCGTCGAAGAGGTGCCGCACCAGGTTGAAGCCGATCTCCAGGGGCTCGGGCTCGGTGCTGGCGGCCGGGTTCACCACCTCCTTCGCTCCTCTCTCTCCTCCTTTCTGTTGCCCCAGGGAAGTCTCTCGACTCGCTTTATTCTTCAGCAGCACCTCCTCCACCTCCTCCACCTCCACCTTCAACTCCGGCTCCACACTCCTCTCCCTCTCCTTCCTCTTCCTCCTCCAGGGCCAGGGAGGTGGCAGCAGCCAGTTTCTGAGACGCCTCACGCAGCCGAACAGCAGGGCGGCCAGTTGAGGAGGCAGCAGCAACAGCCAGCCCAGGAGGCCTCTCTTGGTCCTGGCCGGGATGTGAGTCCCTCTGCCCGGCTCCTGGCTGCCGTTTGGCTCCGCTCTGGTCCTCATTCGAGCAGCACGCACGGAGAGAGAGAGGTAGGGAAAGAGACCAGGCAATTACGACAACAACTTGGGCCAAGCGACAGCAAACAATTACAAAACTCTGCCAACTCCCCAGCAAAGTGAGTGAGAGAGGTGGGGTGAGTGGTGGAGAAGACAGCTGGGAATTTGGGATCTTTCGCTCTTTTCTTCTCTCTCCCTCCCTCTCTCCCTCATCAGGAAATTCTTCCTGACGTTCTGGCAGGGAGGGACTTTGTGGAAACGTAAGAAGCTTATGTTACACTCTCTCTCTCTCTGTCTGGCAAAATGCAACAATGTCAGAAGCTCAAAGACCGTGCTGCTTCCTGCAGCCAAAACTCTCAACATTCCCGCAGAAATAAATGCGCGACATATTCTGCAGGCGCTCAGATTCCTCTTCAATCCCTTTTTACTCCCAAAACTCGGAAAACTTTTGTAAACTCAAGGGAAACTGTTGCAGCGCAGCAGGGAACGAATTCCGCGCATCGCCCAATCGCAAGCCTCCCTCTCTGCCGGCCCCCTCCCCGGTTCCCCGAACTTTGCCCCATTTGTAATGTCCTCCCTTCCCCAAGTGCATTTCTGTAGCGCCTGCCCAACGGGACTTCACAGCCAAAGGGAGCATTCTCACTGCTTCCATCTGTCACCTGTGCCGTAATGTTACTATGGGCTGTTATTTCGTGCACGGCATGATCTCAAACCAAACGGCAGACGACCTGTGATTGAGAGTTGCATGCGGGGAGGACTCCCCTCTCCTGCTTTCACATAGTGCCTGAGAGGAGAAACGCTGTCGCCCCTCAGTCCGGATTACGCGCTCAAAAGTGCTGAAGTGGGAGAGGCTTGAACCCAGGAACCTCTGAACACTCGAGTGAAAATGCAACCTACTGAACCGCAGGTTCAATATATCCTTTTGTTTTGCATTCCATTATCCCCTTCCCTTTTACAACTTGCGGAAATCCCCTGTGACACTGCGGTGAGTCAGTAGACATTTGAGACTGAAGAATGCAGTATCCCAGGGCGAGGATGTCGAAACGGAGACGTGGTTTTCCGGGTGTCCTGCCTTCCCAAGTGCTTTGGAGAATTGGAAAATCCAGCGGTTGCCCAGTAGCAACTTCCTGTCCCAAGGCAGCATTTTTAAAAACAAAAAAAATCCATGTGATGTGGTGTTATTTGCTGCTCTTTGATTGCTTTCGAGAAGAGCGGATGCGGAGCTGCCTACTTGAACCACTGCAGACCGTGGTGGTGTAGGTAGAGAGACAGTGCTGTGAGGAAGCGAATTCCAGGGGTCGTGACCTAGCGACAGTGAAGGAACTTGATGGTTCACTATCAAGTCAGGATAGTATGTGTAGCTAGCAAGGGAGCTTGAAGCAGTCCTGCTGGCTGAGACAGGTAGTTCGTCTTCCTGACATCAGGTTCCCGAAGCAACTGACTGCAACGTGTTGAGACGATTTTTTTTTGCATCTGTCTTTAACAAGTGAGGAGAAAATCACCCTGATCTGGGAAAGGGGTTAAGAGGGATTTGCAGAGCTGACTGTGATGTTTACTCATCCGCACGGGTGTTGAAAAGCTTGTCAATAAATCTCAGGGGCCCAATCAGCCACATCCGAGAAGCTTTGAGGGAATAAGGGAGGAAACAGCGTGCATACCTGCTCTAGCAGTTCACGGAGCACTGGAGAACAACCTGGGAAACAGAAGAAAGGTTGACAGTTCCTTCTGATATTAAAAATGGGATTTAAAAAAGCACAGGAAACCGCAGTGAGAGGGAAGTCAGGAAATCGTTAACATTGCTGCGAAAAGAGACATGCTAGCCATTCTTTCGATATTACACTCAGATGCAAGCATGCCAATGTCAAAGGGAGCAACAATTAGCGTGCATTAGAAAAGGGTTCTCATTGGTTGACAAGTTGATTCTGATAGTTGAGGACATTGCGTCTTCTGTAGCCCCCTTATTGATTGAGGCACAACGCCCGGACATGTTCCATTTTCCTACAGAGGACAGAGACCTGCATATGAATAAAAACAAAGTTGCTGGAAAAGCTCAGCAGGTCTGGCAGCATCTGTGAAGGAAAAAACAGAGTTAACGTTTCGGGTCCGGTGACCCTTCCTCAG